GGTTGAGGAGTTGAGGGTTTAGGGTGTAGGATCTAGGGGTTTTAGGGTTTAGGGTCTAGGGGTTTTAGGGGTTTAGGGGTTTAGGGGTTTAGGGGTTTTAGGGGTTTTAGGGGTTTAGGGCTTGGGGGTTTGGAGTGTTCTATGAACCTCAATCACCATCTGCTCTAGGGTTTCGGGGTTGAGGGTGCTTTTGGGGTGGTGAGAGATCATCCCTATCATAGTTCCCAAACAATCCCTTCCCAGACCCCCGCAAGGATCTAAAAAGTAGAGCCCCTAATTTGGGACCGTAGCTACTAAAGGTTACTCTATCGGAACCCCCTTCAAAGGATCTACTTTTTGGATCCTCCCCGAGGTTTGGGTGTTGGTCGTCCTTCTATTCATTCCTTCCTCCACTCTTCCGTAAGCACCAGTAAAGTCTAAGGGACTCTGACAACCTGACGCCTAAACACCTAAACCCTAAACCCTAAACCCCTAAACCCTAAACCCCTAAACCCCTAAACCCCTAAACCCTAAACCCTATAAGCCCTAAACCCTAAACCCCGTAAGCCCTATAAGTAATTCTGGAATGCCAAAAGCAAGTAGTCTTGCAAGGCTTTTGCCTGTTTAGAGGGCTTTCGATCTCCTTGGTGTAGGAAATGACAATCCCAAAGGGTCCAAGTACCATTATAGTAGCTACTTAGCAGGTATTTGGGCCTCAAAGTATATACTATACTATTACTTGGACCCTTTGGGAATGTCTAGGGTTGAGGGTTTAGGGTTTAAGAAACCCTAAACCCTAAACCCTTTGGTTCGGGTAGAAAAAAAGCTCGCACCTGCAAGGTCGGGTGGTCCAGAACGTTTCATGACCGAGGCAGGAATGGTTTACAAGGGCTTCGTGGGGTTTAGGGGTTTAGGGTTTAGGGGTTCAGGGTTTAGGGGTTAGGGTTGAGGGGTTTAGGGTTTAAGGGTTTAGGGTTTAAGGGTTTACAAGGGCTTCGTGGAAGAAATAGTTTCAGGGTTTAGGGTTTAGGGCTGTAGGGTTTCACAGGTCCTGTAAGCCGTCGAGTGAGGGTATCTGCAATGTTCTTTGAGGGATTAGGGTTTTCCTTTTCAGAGGTCGTTGAGGGCTCTAGCGACCATAATAGTTTTTCAGATACCATCTCAAAGTTTCTGGTTTTAGGATTAGGTTTAGGGGTTTAGGGCTTTAGGGTTTAGGGTTTACGCCTTCATAATGTCATCGGGTTTTGCCAGGCTCTTTGTGGGGTTCCATCTTGCAGGCCCCTCTGCCCTGAACCCTAAACCTAAATCCCTAGTACTATAAGGTTTCAAGGCGTTTTTCTCAGCGATGCCAATGGCTGGAGGGTCATGCCGAGTGTTTAGGGTGCAGGGTTTAGTTTAGGGTTTGGGGTTTAGGGTTTAGAAGCTTAAAAGCCTTCATCAATTTGGAAATTCCCTAAACCCTAAAAGCCAAGAATACGGCCAAGCGAGCGGCACGCGATGCGGCCCTGGCCCTGGAAACGGCCAGGGAGGCCACAAGCAGCTCAACGAGCTATTGGCCAACACACCCTTCCACCACGGTTTAGGGTGTTGGGTTTAGGGTTTTGGTTTAGTTTTTAGGGTTTAGGGTTTAGGGTCAAGCACAGGCGGATTGGTGCTAGCACGGTGGCGCGGCAGCGCTTTACTACCTCAGCGGCCTATGGGTAGGCAAGTTCCAGCGGTTAGCTCGCACCGAGCTGTGTGCGACCAGTGCCTCACATCAGGGTTTTGGTTTCTTCTGTACAAGATGAGCCCTTGAGTGCTTTATGGCTCGTATCGGCCAAAAACCCTATGAAGTTTCTGTATAAGACAAAGAGGCACATACATTTAAAGGGTCATTCCGTCCTGAAGCAAGGGGCGGTTCTCTGCACCAGGGCCCCCCTTTCTTGATCACGGCAGAGACAAGGAAGTAGGTCACTCTTATACCAAGGGCTCGAATTAATGCGACCCCCCCCCCTCCCAAATTTTCCCCCACTCCCTATCTTCGAAATCCTTACAGCCACGCCCGTAGTCTTAACCACCCTAATAAATTAAGGGTTTAGGCTAGGGTTTAGGGTTTAGGGCTTAGGGTCTAGGGCTTTAGGGTTTTAGGGTTTCGGGGTTAATTTCTGCCATGTCTACACCTTGGGATGGACCCGAACGATAGAGGCTCCAGTGAGAAGCGTAACCGGCTTCTCAACGGCTCTGATGGACTCGTAAATACACGTCGGAATAATTAGAATCAGAGTAAGAGCTAGTGCGATTACGATGACAGTGATGCCCCTGCATAGCCCCTACATATTTGTATCTTGACCGGCACCAAAACCCCAATTCCACTGGTTCAAGCCTCCCTACAGTCCCTCAACCCCTAAACTCTCAACCCTAAACTCCCGAAACCCGAAACCCTAAACTCCCGAAGCCCGAAACCCTAAGCCCTAAAGCCCTAAAGCCCTAAACCCGCAACCCTAAGCCCTAAAACCCTAAACTCCCGAAACGAAATCCGAAACCCTACACACTAAACCCTGCATTATCTTAAGGCTTTCGGGAGCTCGAAGACCCGACTCTGTAGAGCTGCGGAGAAGGAGCTTAGGCTTCATGGTGCTTCGGGTTTAGGGCCTTATTTAGGGGTTTAGGGTTTTAGGGTTTAGGGGTTTTAGAGTTTTAGGGTTTTAGGGGTTTAGGGGTTTAGGGTTTTAGGGTTTTAGGGTTTTAGGGGTTTAGGGTTCTAGGGGTTTAGGGTTTTAGGGTTTTAGGGTTTAGGGAAGTTGAGGGTTCTAGGGTTTAGGGTTTTTAGGGTTTAGGGAAGTTGAGGGTTCTAGGGTTTAGGGTTTAGGGAAGTTGAGGGTTCTAGGGTTTAGGGTTTAGGTAAGTTGAGGGTTTAGGGTTCAGAGCCTTGGGGATCTATGCCAAACCCCATAATAAAAAAGGCACCGGTGCATGGAATCATACGATGCCTTAGTGCCCCGAGTAAGACTAGTCTGGTATAAGATGCCTCAAGACCTAAGACCTTTGCAGGTGGGTAGTTACCGTTGTAGGAGCCTTATAGAAGGTCTATATACTTTACAGAAGCCTTATAGAAGCCCTTCCTACCCTAAACTCCCCACCTGTAGTTCCCTAAACCCTAAACCCTAAAACACACAACCCCTAAACCCCTTAACTCCCCACCTGTAGCTTCCTTCAACAAGACCCACCCACAGGCGCCCAAGTTCATCAACCGTGCGGAGCAGGTCACCCGTGGAACATTCGATTTGGTTTAGCTCTAAACCCTAAACCCCTAAACCCCTAAAGCCCGAAACCCCTAAACCCTAAACTCCCTAAATCCTAAACCCTAAACCCCTAAGCCCCTAAAGCCCGAAACCCCTGAACCCTAAACGCCTAAACCCTAAAGGGTTTAGGGATTGGTGTTGTTTTTTTGTGTTTTCAGGTGGAGGGGCTGGGGTTCGGAGTGTCGCGCTTTCGGATTTAGGGCTTTAAGGTTTTAGGGTTTAGGGTTTAGGGTTTAGGTTTTTAGGTTTTTAGGGTTTTAGGGCTTTAGGGGTTTTTAGGGTTTAGGGTTTAGGGTTTTAGGGTTCGGGGTTTAGGGTTTTAGGGTTCTTAGAGAAGGTCTATATACCTTATAGAAGCCTTATAGAAGCCCTATATACCCTAAACTCCCCACCTGTAATTTCCTTTGACTCAACCCCCACGTTGTTCAAGGGCCCTGTGTTAGATTGCACAGAAGGTCTGTACTATAGCCCTAAATCCTAAATCCTAAACCCTAAACCTTTTTACCTCTTACTTGTGGAAGGTAAGGTTTTGGGGTTCCCGAGGCGAGGTTAAGGGTATCGGGGTTGAGGGTTAAGGCTTCATAAGGTTTATGGTTTAGGATTTAGGGTTTTGGTTTTCCTAGCAAAGGCCAAACGAAGGCGACAGCACGAGTAAAGCCCTTCAAACAAGCTCTCAAGACCTCTCTTTTCGTAATTTTTGGAGACTTTTCAACTAGAAAAGACATTGCACACAAAACCAAGAAGATCGCTTAAATGGAACCCAGTAAGACCTTTCAACGAGCCCGATCAGGTCGTACCAGTTTTCAGCGCTTTGGAGCTTTTCCTATCGATCCTCGCGGCGGCTCCGGAAAGGGAGCAGCTGCGGATGACCCGCTATTGGTAGCCCGGTCATAGCCGAATCAAGCCTCAAAAGCCCGATCTTGCCGGAACATACCCTGCATTCTGGAGTACCATACTTGAATGTTTTTTTTTACATTGGACCTGTTCCTTAAAGGAACCATTATAAAATGCAAGTCTTTACTTTTTTCTCCGTGCTTACTTCAAAGTCCAGTACCCGAACCGGAGAAGCCCACAATCAGAGTAGGGCATTCAGTGCAGGTATTTTGAGGAGCCAAAAGCCAGAGTAGCACTATTGTGCGGTGTAGGTCAAGGATGGCATGCTGCTGCTTTCGTAACCTTTCCCGCCATCGGTCCGTAGACACCCTAAACCCTAAACCATAAACACTAAACGCCTAAACCCCGAGTATGGGATGCCCCACCTAACAGAGGTTCGATGCGGTTTGAGTGGCCCTTTTCAACAAATGTGGGCGGTGAAGGTGAACCTAAAACCCTAAACCCTAAAACCCTAAAACCCCAAAGCCCTAAACCCTAAAACCCTAAAACTCTAAAAACGAAGCCCTAAACCCTAAAACCCTAAAGCCCTAAGCCCTAAGCCCTAAAACCCCAAACCCGAAACCCTAAACCCTAAAACCATGAAACCCCAGAACCCTAAAACCCTAAACCCGAAACCCTAAAAGCCCTAAATCCTAAACCCGACACGTTACTCACCTACACCTAGACTCTAAGAGCCTTATATACCAGCTTTTACCTCAGAGCAAGTGCGGGTTAAGAGTTCCAAGCTGTCACGCTGAAGCTAAAAAACAGTACCCAGAGGGTCCATATAGATAGGTAGATAGGTAGGTAGATAGATAGATAGACAGATCGATAAGTCGTATTAATTAAATAAATAAATATATATATATATATGTGCGTGTGTGTATATATATACACACACACACCAGTATGGGAGCAGGCCCAAAATACAATCCTTATCAGGGTTTTGGGGACATACTTCCATGGTTGTAGTATCTTGTAGTATATTTCTTTGGAAAGTTGAGCTCAAGCACGAAATGCGCCCCTGGGGGCTCTATGTCCTATACACTCTAGAACCTGTAACCTGGCATGTGAACCATCATGAGGTCCTTAAGGGAAGCACTACATCTTGCTCTAAATCGTCGAAGTTTGGGGTGAGGGCTGCGGAAGCAATAAAGAAGCCAGAACAACCAATTTTTAGCAATGTCAGTTCTTAATTGTTGTTCCGTATCATAGGTATGTGTCCAAGGCCCGCCCCCTCCAAAAAAAAAACGCTGTTCTAATTCTGAAGGCCCCTTTCGTAGATGAGCTTTACCGGGTAGATCGGTCGAGACACTGCCTGCGCTTTGGACCGGAAATCGGAGAGCTGTGAAGAAAAAAGCAGCGGCCTCCGTTTGGAAGTTCAAGGCGTAGGGTTGTAGGGTTTTAGGGTTTTAGGGTTTTAGGGTTCAGGGTTTAGGGTTTTAGGGTTTAGGGTTCAGGGTTTAGGGTTTTAGGGTTTAGGGTTCAGGGTTTAGGGTCTAGGGTTCCTAAACCCCTAAACCCTAAACCCAGGGTTTCGGGTTTAGGGTTTTTGGTTTGCTCCGAGCTTTGGGTTAGCCCAAGCCTTCCGCCGGCATGGCCAAATTGCCCTTACGGTGCCGCTTTAAGGGCTGAAATGTGTAGGGTTTGGGGAATAGGGTTTAGGGTTTTGGGGTTTAGAGTGATGATATAAATCCCGCATTTATCCCAGAAGAAGGAATATATATATATAATATATATATAATATATATATATATATCTACACCATATATAATTCCCATAGTTTAGGGTCCTTAAGGTAGAAATGCAGGATTTATTATCATCAACCGTATCCCCTACACAGACCCGAATCCCTCAAGCCATGCATCTTCGGCCTTACATCCTGCCACATCCTATTGAGTTTAGGGTCTAGGGTTAGAGCTTGCATAAGATGAGGGGCCCGAAGCATAGACCCAAGGTCATCGGATCCTTGATATAAGGACCTTGCAACAGGGACACCCGCCCCAGCCCGGGGATCCATAAACCCTAAATCCCAAACCCTANNCTAAAACCCTAAACCCGAAACCGTTTAGCGAGTAGCTTTTAGTTGGCATGTCAGCCCGAGATCTTCCAATGTCCCCCTGGTCGCCTTAATGCCTTTAAAGGGTAGTGGGATTCCTAATGCTGTTAGTTTAGGGTTTAGGGTTT